GAGATAGGGAACAAAAGCTGATTTGCATCAGCAGAGGAAAGTCCCTGCAGAGTTTCAAGAAGGAACTGTGGAGGTCAGAGGGTTTCTTCAAATGAAGGAACTGTTGCCTCAGTCTGCTTAAAACAGGTTAGAAAATCACAAAACCAAGGGACAGAACTTGTAGAAAGGCAAAGTTTGAGATGTGCTGCAGTCAAGGATTGGTGTTAGCTGGAGCACCAGAGCAGAACTCCAGCATCACCTGGGCTGTGCTGGGCTCAGCAGCTCATGACCTTCCCTGTGCCCTCCTCATCCTCCACAGGGGCTTTTCCAGTCTCCCTGTGCAGGGAGAAGTGGCCGGGAGCTTTTGGCTTTTCCAGGATCTCACCAAAGCAGCTGTGAGTTGGCTGTGTCCCCTCCCCACCCCTCCCTCCCTCCAAAACTGGGACATCTAAATTTAACCTGCTATCAACAGATGAGGCTGGAGTGTTTCCACTGTGGCAAGGAATCCCACTCAGAATCTGTCCTCTCCCCTGCTCAAGCTCCATCCCTGCACATTCCTTCCTTCGAGCTGGGAGTTTCCTTCCTCCTCCTCCTCCCCACATGCACTTGTTTGTGTCACTGCCACAGCACTGATACCACAGCAGGTCTTTGCTCTGGTGCTTTTTTGGAGAAGTTTGGATGCTGCTTTGCCAGCTGGATCAGGGACCAGCAAAACTCCTCAAAGACCAAACAAATGTGCAAAGGAGAAACCTGTGTCTTGCTTGGGCAGAAGTGGTGGGATGGGAGCCCGCAGTTGGGTCGGGCTATGGCAGGAGGAGCTGGAGCACGGAGCTGGAAGATGCCAGTGGGTTTAAGAGATCAGCAGTGGAGCTGTGCTGGCTGCAGGCACCCCCTGCTCTCCAGAACTCAGCACTTTGCTTTACTGGAAAGCAAACAAAACATGAACGTGAAAATTTTCGGGGGTGGGCAGGGAATAACGGAATGAGTACAGGTGGTGTTTGAAAACCAATCACGGACAGCAGCAGCTTTCACCCTCTCCTCTGCCCAGGGCTCTGCACTGCTGCCTCTCTCCAGATGTGGTATTTTCAGTGAACATCTGACTGGGTTTTGCTAAATAAGCCAGCGGTGTCAGGAGACCGAAGCGTGCGGGAGTTGAGCCTGCACCGGCCAGCCCGGCTCCGGCTGCCCCGAATGCGCAGCAGGCTGGTGATGAAAAATGCAGGATGTTGGCTGGTGTTTTTCACCAGAAACCTCCTGGCTCTGTCTGCTGCAGCCCAAGAGCTGAGGCCGGGGCTCAGAGAGAACTGAGAGAGAACGGAGAGAGAACTGGTGGTAAATAGGTGGTGGTAAACTGGTGGCAAATAAAAACGTGAGCGCAGAGCTATTTGTTTAAAAACAGCCGCCGCCCAAACCGACTCCAGGCAGACGCGTTTGAAAATTTCACTTTATTTCTCTGTCTGTTATAAAAGCAGGGTTTTGTATTTTACATCTCTGTAAGTGTCCAGACTCGGTACATCTTGGTTTTGTTTTCACAGTATCTCTGCAAGACCAAGGACGATTCTTATTGCTGCGCCGGGAGCCAGGGCAGGAGGGACAGCGGTGCCTCGCCTTCCCCCCGGGCTGGACCCGGCTCGACAGGTCTCTACCCCTCCCCAAGGCTGCTGAGGGTCTGTGCTGACTCCCCGAGGGGCTGCCCCTCTCCTCCCACGCCCATCTCGGTGTCAAGGGTAGGGAAGGAGAACCACGAGGTCCGCGACCCACTCGGCACCTTGGCCGCGCTCAGCAGCCCCTGGGGGCAGGTGAGGGTCTGGGCCAGGGCTGCTGCCCACCCTGGACCACGACAGGGCTGTGACAGGATGGCCAGGCTGCACTCTGAGCCCCTGTGGGGGTTTGGGTCTATAAAGAGCTGAGAGCATCACTGATGGGAAGGGTGAGGCACAGACACACTCAGGTTCGCCTGTGTATGCCGTGTCGGTGCCCCAACACCTTCCCAGTGTACCCTTTGTGTATTCCTGGTTCTGCCAAAAGCTGCCAGAGAAGGAGCTTGATTCACCTCTGCTCATTTGCCACTCTGCCCTGGGTCCCCAGACATTTAAGTCCCCACTGGAGCCCTGTCAGTCAATCCCTGTTCTAACCACCAGCCTTAGCAACAGCGGTGTCTTAGAGCCCCTGTTACTTCCAGCCATCCTTCCTGTCATAGACAATCTGTCCCCATCAGTTCTGTAATGAAGCAGCATTGGAAAAACATCACTTTTAATCACGATGCATGAGATCTCCAAAGAGGCAGCATCACTCTCTCTGCCATGTCTGGGGATGCAGATGGAGGTGAGGGGGCACGTTTCGACCGAGGCACGGGATCAAGGCATTCTTTGGGAAGGGAGAAGTCCATGCAAAGCCGACCCCAGAGTGAAATTTGAATTTTGTATTTACTGCTCAGCTGGGTCCGTTCAGTGCAACAGGACAAATTAGCCAGGAGGTTACTATCAAATTGCATGGATGTATTCAGTCCACCAGGTAGAGGGAATAGGAGGAACCAGATTTGCTTAATGCACTGGGAGACTAAGTGCAACACAAAGCTAAGTGGGAAAGGACCTAGGTGTTCCCTGAATGTGGTTTTTGGTGACTGAGAAGAAATCTTTCCTTGGAATTTCTTTGTGCAGCTAATTAAGACAACTGGGTCCGATTCCTTCGACCCAGGCTGACATCAGTGAGAACTGTAAATACTCAGCACCTGGAGACAAAGTGAATACCAGACACAAATCCCCCTTCTGCTCCCACCCATGGGACTCAGCAGCAGCCAAGATGCATGGAGAGCATGATCAGCTATTCACCCACAGCTCACAGTTTGTCCTCTTCTGCATGTATTGCCTCGGAGAAAATACAGACAAGTCCCAAAGGGCTGTGCCAGTGGAGCTATATTGGATCTGAATCCAGGTAAGAAAACAGAGTTTAATATAGAGAGTGACTGTGCAAGTCCAAGTCTCCCTAGCTTCATCCTTTATAGTCCCAAAGCCAAGACTGAGGCACCCTTTGGCTCGTGGATTTGGGGTTGATCCAGTCCAGTCGTTTGCAAGCCGGACTTCCCACCTCGGAGCTCTGCCCGTGGAAAGGAGCAGCTCCATGGCTGAGCATCTCTGAAAGCCAGTGGATGAGGAGGGTGGGCTCCCCTGCAGGCAGGGGAATGGCTGCAGAGCCCCAGGATCCTTGTTTGCTGGTTTGAGGCTGGCTTGGTGGGGGACACAACTTCTGGGTGTGCATTCCCCGGGCAGGGGTTGGTGTTGAACCTGTTGCCAAAGGAGGTGGTGTGGCTGTGGAGAAGTGAGGAAGGAGAATTTCTTGCTGGTAACGTCCTGTGTGGAAGATGGGGGTAGGAATAGCAGCTAATTGGTGCCTCTCCATGGGGAGAGCCTTTTGAGCAGCGTGTGTGGGGTTGTGAGACCTGTTCAGACCAGCTCAGCAGGGCCAGGCTTGTACCTGGCATGCAGAACTCTCCTTAGTCCCAGCTCTTGAGGCAAATTGTTAATAGGAGGAAGAAATATTTACTGGGGGAAGGAGCTGCAGAGGGAAGTGATCTGCCTGAGGCCGTGTGCTGGAGCAGGGCAGATCCTCCACTCCCCCTCCTGTGCCCTGGCCTCCAGATGCCACCTCTACCACAGAACTTCCTCTGCCTTCAAACCCCTCCCTCCCATGCAAAAGGCTCTTCTGCCTCATCCTCCTCTGCAGAGGAGCATCTGGTTATCTCAGCAGCCATCTGGTCCTTCTTAAAAGCTACAGGTTTCACCTCCTCCAAATGCTCCTTCCTCACTGAGGATCCACACCCAGGGCTCAGGTGTTGCCCTGCCTGCACCTTCTCATGTGTTACCCTTTGCTACAGTGGATGTTTGTGCCATGACAGACAGGGACAGTGTCATGGCCCTGCCTGTACCTCGTGCCTGACAGTCAGGTAGATCATGAGGTCATTGGGAAGAAAATGATCTGTGAATCCCAATGTGACTGGTTACCACAGAAGGAAGAGTTTTCCCTCAGCTGTTGCTGTGTTTGCCAGGAGTGGGTCCCTGTTATTTTCAGATGTGGCTGCTCCTGATCTTGCTGGGTAGGCTGGGTGGGTAAGATCTGCCCCCTCTGACACCTGTGTGCTTCCAGTGACTTCAGAAGATCCTTTGGACACCCCATTCTTTGTACAGCCCCGTCTTTGGGATTTCACAGCAAATGGGGCCACAGAGCTTCACCTGGCAGCAGCAGGCACACCAGCCCTTGGCTCTCATCCACGAAAAGGTGAGGCTGTGGGCTAGCTGGGAAAACATCTGTGTGTCCTAAAGACAGACCCACTGGGACATCCCCCCCTTGACTGGTGTTGACTCCCAGGGCCACAATTCCAGCTGTGAGGTTGTTCCCTGTTGAACTGCTAACGGGAGGCTGAGACCAGCACGGGTGAGCAGCACGAGGAGCTTCCGAGGCCTCCTGCAAAGCAGGGAGAGGTGGCCTGGGAGCTGCCCCTCGAGAGCCATCCGACAGCAGGGTTGTTATTTGCATTGCTTTGAAACTGAGATTATTTCCATGCTTCCTTGTTCCAGGTTTTAAAAAGAGGAAGATTTTCTTGCTTCTTCCAATTTCATGCCCTTTTTATCCATCAGCCCATGCCACGCTGACAATCTATTCCTTGTTCCAAAACTTTTTCTCCAGAATTCTGTAGAAAGGACATTCTGCCTGGTGGTGTTTTTGTTGTTTGTTTTTTTTTTTTTTTCAAACATAGCTTTAAGGCAAAAGTTTGGCAATGCAAAGCAAAGTCTACATAAGGCCGCATGACTTGGATTTGCAACTCAGAACCTTACAGCTTAAAAAAAAAAATACCTTATCTTAAATAGTCAACTTTTTGCTCCAGAAACTTGTTTCATTCTCAACCAAAAAGAAAAAAAAAATTCTTAAAATCCCAAATAAAATGTTCTTATAGTTCTGGGCAGTTCTGGACAAGCTAATGAGACTGAAGTTCAAAGAGGAACTAAAGTAGGGAAGAAAAAAAAAAAGCTATAGGGTAGACATCAGTGTTAGTTTCTTCCCTTAGGAATCCAGTGATGAGACAGACCCAGTCCAAGGTCTCCTCTTTAGCTTTAGCACAGTGAAATCCGTCCCAATGGGAGAAGGTAGAATGGTTGCATTTGTTGAATGAATAAAAAGTGCATTTAGATTTTGCTCAGATTATAGGTGTGTATCCTAATACCTAAGTGATTGTTTTGCTTCGGGTTTATTTTCTCCCTCTCGGTGCCGGGACGCCAGGCGTGCATTATCGATGTTTTGGGGGTATCACCACGAGTGGTGGTCCATCCTTTGGCCTCCACATGAGTACCTGAGCATCATTGGCATTGGGTTTGACAAGGGCACTGGGTGGTATTGGCTCATTCTTGCTGAGGACCTGGGGCTGCTCTTGGGCAGAGGGCTCCTGCAGCTTGGCACGCTGCCCCAGGGGCCTGCTGGGGTTCACCTCGATGCCCAGCCTCATGCGCCATTTGATAGTCTGCAGGGTCACCATCTCGTTGGTGGCCGTGTTGGTTGCCACCAGCCAGGTGGTGAAGCTCTGATCCCGGTGGATGCTGGTGAGCTTGGCCACGTTGCTGTCGCTGACGGGCACGGCCCACGTCACGCTGGGGTAGAAGTTGTCGTTCATGCTGATGTTGAACTTGGACTCCTTCTTGGTGGGACCCACGATGGTGCAGGTTTCTGTGGTGTTCCCATACCAGGGATAGTTCACTCCGTCTGAGTCGCTGATGGCCTGGATTTTACCGTCCAGTAGATCTGGAAGCTCCCAACTTGACCTGCCATAATCAATAGCAAATTATGGATAATGAATTAATTAATTAGTTTAGAAACATGCTAGACTTTAGAAAGGAGAGGGAAGAGCTGTGGATGCCTTCCCTCTCCAGCTTTTACTGGCATTTGTGCCCTTTGTGCCATCCTGCTCAAAGAGCTCATCCCTGCCATTAAAAGCATCCTTCTTGTCAGGACTGCTCTCAATCCGTTCATCCCCTACATTTCTCTCTGGATGAGCTGCTGTCCCTCCCCGCTGTCTGCCTGGCTCTGGAAGTGTAACCCATCCTCCTGCAGCCCTTGGAAGGACCCAGCTCGAGGGCTGCACTCCAGGCTCTGGGCTGGGGATGGTGTTACAGTAATCAGAGAGCCCCAGGTGGAGCTGCTTGTAAAACTGCCCGCGCCGCTCACCTGTGAGAGGGACAGAAAGGTCAGTGCTGCTAGCATGAATGTAAGTGAAAACACTCCCCTGTCACCTTGTACTGCTTGATGCACAACTTGGAGTGGGTTTTTCCATTAGCTTCCAATATAATTTTTAAGATTAGATTTGCCAATCGAGGCAAACTGCTGTAAATGTCTCAGAAGAAGGGTTGGATGTTTGCTCTGAGACGGCACAACCACAGATCACTCTCTCAGTGCACAGCAGCTGTTTTAAGGACAGTCTTTTAAAAACCAGGCTGGCAGAGGTGCCTCTCATGTACCTTCTCCCTCCTGCTCATGAATCAGCACTCCTCACCACCCAGGGATGATGTCCCAGCAATGAAGGTGGCAGCAGAAGGGACTGGTGGCAGCAGCAGTGCTGTTTGCACCTGACCCTGCCATAGCACTGGCTGTGCTCCAGTTCCCCAAGCCTTGTGGCTCCCTGCTGCAGGCTGGGACATGGGAAATGATTTATCTTGGAGAGACACAGAGGGGACGCCCTGAGGCTCGTCAGGGTCAGGGTGACTGTCCAAGCCTTTCATAAGTCTGGTGCTGCAGCTTAAAATAGCCCCTTGATTGCAGAGGAGGCTGTGGCTGGGGGTACTGGTCGGCCTGGCTGGCTCTTACACAGCTCTGGGATGAGCTGCTCTGGCCAGGGCTGATGTGACTGTCTCATAAGGCTGTTTTGACTGTTAATTAGTTAATGACCGTGAAGTGCCTCCATGTTTGTACCCGCTGGATCGTTCAGCACTTAGCTGTGTCTGGCTCTGGCTAGAGGATACCACGGGGGATTTTAAGGTCTCATTTATATATTTTTTTTTCATGCGAGCAGGGGCTCCTGGCAAACACCTCCCCACGGGAGCTGAAGTGTGAGACAGGAGGTGGGGTGCCCCGGGGGCTGCAGGGATGCTCTGAGCCGCAGGAGCAGGGGCTGCAGGGATGCTCTGAGCCGCAGGAGCAGGGGTTATGCAAGCACAACATCTCCCTGCTCAGATTTACAGGCTGCTGTCAGCTACAGCACCGCAGCTGCAGCAATCCCTTCCTCCCGAGCTCATCGCCAGCAGGCAGAGGGAGTCCTTTCCCTGGAAGAAAATTTTTAGTGAAGGCAGCCAAAAGGAGATCCCTGAGCAGTCCTGCCAGGACCCTTGTGCACTGCAGAGATGTTTATTTGCTCTGCTCTGCTCTGCAAACCGGAGTCATCCTGGCTCACCACCCCTTGTGCCCTTCAGGCAGGGCTGAGCAGGGCAAGGCTCAGGGATGGCCCAGGGAAGGCTCAGGGGATGCTGGGTGACCCAGCCCTTGCTGATGGATGAGTGGAGGTCCTGCTCTGCAGCGCCCACCCCTCCCTGCTGCACAGCCCAGCTCCAAAACCCCATCTGGGGGCTCTTCTCTCCCTTTCAGCTGCTGGTTTAGGATTACTTTCCATTCAGACAGGGGCTGGCGCTCAGCTTGGCTGTCACCCAGGGCTGAGATGTGACTGAGGTGACAGGCGTGGTGCAGCCACAGCATCTCTGCAGGTACCAAGGTGCCAAACCAGGAGCTGAGATGCCCCAGAGGGTGAGAACCCTCCTGGGCTGCTCCAGCCTGCTCAGATCAGAGCTGCTGGCTGGATGGCAGGAGAACCTGGCAGAGTATGCTCAGTAAATGCAGATCCTCTAAGATCTGCTTGTCCCTGTCCTCATTCCCAGGTCAGGACAGAATTGCAGGAGCTTCTGGGGATTTGCCCAGGATTTAAAGAAGAGCACAAGGGTGGAGCTGTGTCAGGGCCTGAGCAGGATGGTACCTGCAGAGCCTGCAGCATCCCAGGACAAAGCAGATGTGGCTGAGCTCAGGGTGGCCCAGGAGGACACCCAGCTTGAGGAAAGGCATGGGCAGGAATGGGGAAGGAGACACCAGCCTGTGTTTCTTCAGAGAGCACGCTGTGCCTAATTCTAGCCAGTGTGGTTAACCCCAGGGTTTCAAAACCATCATGCTTCATCTGCTCTGCTTGGAACAAGCAGAAAAACGAGGCCTCATGATGATCCCATGACTGGAGCAGAGCAGAGGCTGCACGGTGGCTGCTGCTGGTGATTGTCCCTCTCCTGATGCTCCAGCAAAGCCCCTGTGCCAGCCAGGCTGGCAGCCTCTGCTTGCCGAGCGTGTCCATGCTAAATAATATGCCAACAACTGGATGAATTTGGAAAGAATGCTGTGGAATGATCTTTGGCTGCATCAGCATCTTTCTCTGGTAGTGTCGAGCCAAGGAGAGACCAGAAAGTGCCCAATAAACACTTTGCTGACAATAGCAGGAAGGAGGCATGAAAAGAAACCGAGCTATCTGGTTTCACGGGTTCACTGATCAGCTCCAAGATCAGTAGGTTCTGCCTTACAACACTGACAAGCCTCTTTCTGCCTCTTCTGAAACCTTCAGAGCCAGTGTGGGCACCACCAGAGCCTGGAGCTGCCAAGAAACCTCTCCTAACAAATGTCTTCTTGCTACCAGAAGGAACTTCAAGCTATTTCCTGTGGTACGAGCAGAGCCCTGCTGCTGACAGCCAAGCAGCTTTATGTAGGTTTTAGCTCCCCAGTTCTCATTCAGACACTTTTTTCCTCTTCTGTCACACAGAACGAATCCTCCTGAGCTGCCAGATGTCTGTCCCACAGCAGCCAGCAGGGCAGTGACAGCAAACCCAGCCCTGGGCATCCAGCAGTGGGGAACATCAGGCAACCTTTCCAGACAGGCACCAGGCACTATTGCAACCTCAGCTCTAATTGCCTAAAGCCAGCTCCTAATTAGTCACAGGCCAGCTGGACTTGCACAACCTTCTGCTTTCCAACACCTTCCTCTCCAAGCTCCCTAAATAAGAGCAGCCCCTCTGGGACACAGCCCCTGCCTGGTGCATGGAGCAGGGCCATGTGTGGGTGTAGTGAAACTCTGTCCCAGGCATTTCACATCCCTGCTCCTGACTCCCTCCACCACTGACCTGCACTGGGGACTCGCTGAGAGAAAGAAAACCTGATAGCCAGAGCTGCTTAATTTTAAATTCTCCTTTGCAGTGCCCCTCTCACCTTTTCCAGCATGTCAGGCAAGTCAAGGCAGGGTTAGAGTGAAGAACAGGAAGGAAATTTAAGTTGTTGCTCCCCAGCTGACAGAGCTGTGCTGCTGTGGTCCCTCTTCCTCCCACCCTCCAGCTGTGTGTTCCTGCCTCATCTCTTGAACCAGCAGCAGTGTTTGGGGCTGGGCCAGGGAGTGAAACTAGCACAAAACTGGCATTAGGAAAAAGGGAACAATTTCTGCTGGTTTAGGGGGGCAGACTCAAGTGCAACTGGACAAGCCCTGGAACTGGGCTAAGGTGGGTGAGATCCAGGGGCCACTGCAGGGCAGCAAAGCCTTGTCCTCTGAATCCCTGGAGGAGTCAATTCCCACAGTGAACTGACCTCCCTTCACTTTCTTTGGAAAAGATGCCCTTGTGGTTGTTTTTTTTTGATTTTGTCCTCCCTCCTGGGGACTGGGGGTTTATTCTCTTGACAATTTGAGTTCATTATGTCCCTGCTGCAGGGCATGGAAGATTTAATCTCACCAGGGAGAGATGCCTGGGAAGATGAAGTGATGATGTAAGGATGCAAGTGCCCCATGGAGTCTTCCAGGAGGAGAAACATCCACAGGAAAACTTCTCCAGATTCTTGGCTGATCATATTCCAACTGCAATTTATTTATCTCTCTCTTTTGCATATCTCCATCTGCACAGCTTCTTGCACATCTCCATGGAGATGAAGGAGGCTGGATAATGCCATTCCAGCATGGCCCAGAGCTGACACAGCTTCCACCAGGTGCAGAAACCAGCACCCACCCCAGCAGATGCCAGCAGGGACCTGGTCCAGCTGCTCCTGCTCAGGTCACAGCTCTGGCCTGGTCCTGCTGCCTCCCTCTGTGCAGCAGATCCTTCCCTCAGGACAAGGGTAAAATCCTGCATGGGAGGAGCAGCAGTGGCAGCCATGGGGTGCACAGGAGTTTGCCCCAGGCCTGCACAGAGAGGGGTCAGAGAGCACATCCACACCCTCATGCTGGGCATTTTCATGTTCCCTGCAGCATCTCCTGACTCACATGTAAAGTAATGCCAGCACTTATGTGTTAGCAGAGCTCTAATTCTCTCCCTTTAAATTTAAAAATGCTGCATTTAGCCCCCAAATTGTCAGTGCCACTTTAAACGTGCGTGTCTAAATTATCCCCTCTGTACTCCCATCCTTATAGCAGCATTATGCACAGCTCCATCTGCTCCAGTATTTCTCAGCTGTTTCCATCCTCAATGTAATGGCCAGCTTATGCACAGCTAACAACTTCCCAGCAGAGAAGTGAAAAATTAATCCAAAGCCTGCTGTAAGTATTGGTGCTTCGGTCGGATGAGTGATTTTTGATTATTTGGGGGTTTTTGTTTGTCAGTCACCACAGGGGTTAAAAACATGGATGTGGCAGTGGCCTCTGCCTGCCATGGAAAGTTGGGACTGCTGGCATCAATCGATGCAGCTCTGTGGAGGTCAGTGGGATTACATCGAGTTACACCAGCCAAAGCCTTGGCCCATCCTTTCTCTCAGGTTTGTGTCCTCTCTCTCTCTCTCTCTGTAATGGTCTTCCAACCCATGCTCCCATAGCATTGAAGAGGCCTTTCCTCCTAAATGCCTTTATTTATAGCCTTCAGATGGCAATGAGTCTATAGAAAGAGAGTGCAGGAACAGACCAATTCCTGCTTGTGTTCAGGTAACTTTTTTTTTTTTTTAATCAGTTAAATGTCAGTGAACCTCCTAGAGAAACATCTTTGTTTCCATGATTTTCTAGCTAAAAGCTCTCACACATAGCTGCAGTGTTTAATTCTACCAGTTTACAGCAGCAGCTACTACTCCTTTTTTTTTTTTTTTCTTTTCTTTTTTGTCCCAAAACATTCCAGCAAGGGCAGGCTGTACCAAATCCTTCTTTTAAACACAGGGAAACTCAGGTGCAGAGAAATGAAAGGCCACACTGAGGTTTGCAGCCCAGAGCAGCACTGGCAGCATCACTCTGTGCCCAGTCCCCTCTATTTCAGTGCATCAGAGCTGTATTTATATAAAGTGGACTTTTCTATTCTTCCTTTGCAGCTGGTGGCTAAAGACAGGATTCCTAAATGAGCCTGAGAATTACACATGCAAATCCCAAAGGCCTGCAATTGGGAACATCTGAGCAACAAATTGTCCTTGCTAAAGATGCTGTTGGAGCCAAGAAAGCCTACAGATTTCAGGCCTGCTGTAAATACTTTTAAAATCACCATCAGCCTGTCTGCACTGCTGCTGCTTGCCAGGTACCAGTTTGCCTCTCAGGAAACTTTCTGCTTGGGCAGAGAGGGGACATGGGGACAGGAGGGGGGCAGCCTCTCACCTGGGACTGCTCCTCCTTCCCTGGGGTCTGTGAGAGGGAAGGGAAGGGAAGGGAAGGGAAGGGAAGGGAAGGGAAGGGAAGGGAAGGGAAGGGAAGGGAAGGGAAGGGAAGGGAAGGGAAGGGAAGGGAAGGGAAGGGAAGGGGGGCTGTGCGTGCAGATGTTCAGGCTGTCAGGAAGGCGCTGCATTCACTCATTCCTGCTCTCCAGCCCGCCTCCCCCAGCACTCCTCATTCAGGGATTTTTTAAGCTGCCCAGACTGACCCTCAGGGGCTGAGCCAGCATCTCCCTGGCTCGAGGCACTCGGGATGAGCAGGGAAAGGATTCTCAGACCTGACCTTCCCGTCCTTCCTCCCTCAGCCCCAGAGCCTGGGCAGCATCAGCAGCTCCAGCCACTGACCCATCTGCCAGCACGGTCAGGTTCTGTCCCCGTGGCTGGACAGGCACATTTCTGCTGCACCAGGAGGCTGCACCTGTGCTGCCCAGCACTGTGAGCTGCAGAATTGCTGCTCTGTGCAGGCATTTGGGGATCAGGTGCTGGGGCTGATTTAGCTGTGGGCCAAAGCCTGCAACGTTTGGAGAACAAGCTGGTGGGGGACTGGGGAGAGATGACTTTTCTTGGCAGGGAGGTGACATTCTGATTTGACTCATTCCTGCCTCACTATGACTGTCTGACCAGTAACATGGGGATTCCTGGTGTGCAAACAGCCCCTGGATTCCTCCCACCTCACATCTACACCCATGTATTCCCTTTCACATCACCCATGAGGGAGGGGAGCGCGGAATCCGCACCCTGCTCCAAGGTGATGCGGATGGTTTCACTACCAAGGGGTTAAATCCAGCTTGTGCTTTCCCGTGGGCTGCCTGCTACTGTGGGCAAAGCAAGCAGGATTCCTCCTGTGACGTTCAATGTGCTCCCAGAGCTGGTGGGCTATGAGCTCCCAGCCACAGCTCACTGCAGCAGCAGCAGCAGCAGCAGCAGCAGAGCACTCCAGGGACGGCTCCGTGCCACAAGTGTCAGCCCTGGGCTCTGCCTGGGGCTCCTCAACGGGCACCCTTGGGATGGGGAGGGATGCAGGCAAGAGGAGCTGGAGGTCAGGAGAACCACTCGTGTCAAACACCCATCAAAGCAGGGGAGCCTGTCGTGGCAGGGCTGCTCCCGGGGTTCCAGGATCTCCTGTGCAGCCCAAAAGCTGTTGTGGAAGAGCTTTGCTTTATGGGTTCCTACCAGAACAAGTGGGGTTTGGCTGGGGCTTGGGCGAATTCCCACTCGAGGAGAAGAACACCCACTGCTTTGAAAGGGCAGGGAGAAGCTCTCCTGTATTTCAAACACATGGCAAAGTTCTGTTAAGTTTCGGAGGGGCTGGGTTTTTAAATATGGATTATAATTTTTGGCTTAATCCACTATCTCCCAAGCAGGCCATGGCCCTGCCTCTCCCTCTCCCCGCCGGGCGAACGCACCCGCACGCGCCCTCCCCTCGGGAATACTCACATCCCCTGGTCCCCGTAGTGATTGTAGAATTCCATGTGGCTGCAAGCCTGGATCCAGCCCACGATCCAGGTCTCCTTCTTGGGGAGAGGGGGCACCAACACCTGGGCAGAGGCTCGGAAGTGAGGGGTGCGGTAGCGCAGCACCACGCTGGAGGACTCGTCAATGCTGGTGGGAATGGGATCAATGGAGGCTTTCACTTCAACCACTGAAATGCTCTCCCGGAAAACTTTGGATTTGCAGCTAATACTCTGAATACAGCCCATGGCATACCCCGAGTACAGTCTGACGCAGCTCCTAGGGTACTCCAGCAATCCTGGGGAATATTAGGCATTGAAATTGTCTGGTGCTAGATCAATTACAGATCTTCTTGGTTTGTAATTTCAAAACTGATATCCATAGGATAGAAAATGCATCACGTAAAGCCTTAATTCGAATATCTGTCTTACAAGTACTGCTTCTATTTCTGAGGTTAGCTGCGCTTCGGAAGCAAAAGGGCCTTTAAAATTTTTTTCCCCTTTTAATGACCCATTAAATCTCTTCCTCAAACAGTCTTTGGGTTAAAAAAAAGTCTCTTGAGTTCAATAAATAAAGGTGGTGTTCTTAGCTGATATATTTAGTCCTTCCTTTGCTCAGATGCAGTCTGTCATTCACCATCAAACATAGGACTAGCCGGTATTTCCCTTTATTCTTTGGATGAAAAGCAGAATGTTGATAGACACATCTATATAAATAATGAAATAGTTTTTAGCCCCAGCTTGTCACAACCAGTGTGGATTTCCACTTCCTGACTTGCAGTTGTTCATAACTTCCTTTCACACAAAATTACAATAATAACAGAAAGAAACGACGGCTGGAAAATGCAAAAAGTCGCCAAATCTCCGATTCTGGAGGCTCCTCCGCCAGCGATGTCTGGGCTTTGGGGATTAATTTTTTTTTTTTTTTTCCCTTAGAAATAGCCGGACGCAGAGGGAAGCGAGCGCGGTGCCGGTGGGGCCGGCGGCTCCGGGAGCGCAGCGGGGCAGGCGGCGATGGAGCCTCCCCCGCGCCCGCCGGGGCCGCGCCGCTCCGCGCCCGCTCAGCGCCGCGGCTCCGCCGCCCGTGACATCCCCCGCCACGCACCGGCCCGGGGGCGCCGCTCCCCTTCCTCCTCCTCCTCCTCCTCCTCGGCGAGCGGCTCTCCGCAGGGGTGTCCGACCTTCCTCCTCCTCCTCCTCCTGCTCGCTGCTGCTGCCGCTGCCGCCGCTCCGGGGCTCGCCGGCTCAGCCGGCGGGGCTCATGGGCGGGCGGCGGGGCTGCCCCGCACACGCGTGGGCCCCGCAGGGCGTCACAGCATCCCGGGGAGCCGCGGCGAGCCCCGGCCGCGCCGCCGAGCCCCGGCTCCTGCGCTGCGGGGGCGAGCAGCGGCGCGGGGCGGCGGGGGGGAGGCTCCTTCTTCTTCTTCTTCTTCTCTCGCTGGGTTTTTTTTCCCCTTCGCCTCTTCGCTGGCTGCCCGGGGAGGTGAGCGGAGCGGGATCGGTGCCTCCGCCTCCCGGCTGTCGCAGGCTTCCTCTCCCGCAATACATTCGTGCACCCGGGGCTCAGCCTCGCCGGGGGCGCGGGGGGGCGCGGGGGGGCTCCCGCTCCGCTCGCCGCAGCATCAGAAAGGCAACGGGGTCAAACTTTGCGGGAACTCGCTCGCAGCCCCGCGGCGTCCCCGGGCGTGCCCCGCCGGCTGCCCGGGCAGGGAGCGCCGCATGCCCGAGGCTCCCGCGGCCCCGGCGGCGGCACCGGCTGCGGCTCCGGGCCCCCCCCGCCGCCCTGTCCTCCCTCCTTCGCCCAGTCCCATCCCTCCCCCTGTATTTCGCTTTTAAACTGCAGCTGTTGAAGCTAAACCTCCTTTGCAAAAAAACAGCATTTCCTCCCACATGTCCGTGAATTGTGGGTAATGTAGTTTTTTTTTAATTTAGAAACGCCTTCCCCCCCCTTTTTTATTATTATTTTTATTATTATTATTATTGATATTATTATTGTTATTATTATCTTTCAATTTCACTGCAATGTCCTTTTTCTTGGGTTTTCAGATTAAGATTTTCCTCTCCCGGCTGGAGCCTGCTGCTGGGTAGATTTGGTGCCAGCCAAAGGGCACCAGAGGGGATGGTCTCTTATTTGGAGAACCTGTAGCCCAGGGCTGGATGCGCTGTGATTCCAGCAAGGAATAATGTAAAGCTGTCCCTAGCAGCAGTGGGACACGGGAGCAGCTGGAATGGGGAGTGAGAAGCGTCTGAGGCAGCAGTGGCCTGTGGGAAAGTTGTAAACTTCTATTACAGGCGGTTTTAAGGGTAATGTTGCCAGCTGGTCCTGCTGGCCATCAGCTGGCTGAGGATCTGAGCACCAGGGGAGGTGAAATTTTTGGCATTTCAGCAATAGCTGATGGACATCAGGCATTGGATGAGTGTGTCCTCTGCCACTTGTTTCTAAACAGGAAACCTGGGGAAACGAGAGGTAAAAATCTCTTTGCCGGTGCTGCTTGTGGTGTGGCACAGCAGTGCAGAGCTGCTGTAAATGTCTCTTAGTCCTTCCCACCCTGCACTCTCAGCAGGCTGGGTTAGCCCTTAGCAGGTAGGAGAGACCTGAGCTACCAGGTGATCCTAACAAGCAAAATGCCACAGGATGAGGGGAGGCAGGTTTGCTCCTTTCCACCCACAGCAAGTGGAAAAAACACAGCTTATTGTGATGTTTTTCCTCTTCACGTGTTTCTCGAAGCATTGAGAAATATTTATTTTAAACTTCCCAGTTGCTGTGAAAGGCACAATTTAGTCACTAATCCTGTGACAGAGAGAATCACTAAGAACCTGCTCACGTTACAAGGCACTTACTATCATGTAGTACCAGGAAGAATGAAATTAGCATCTTCCGAATGAAATATCCAGCAGCCTCCAGAAGGTGCTGAAATCCTTTGACATTTCCAAGACTCTTTCACACTTTTCAAACAAGCTTGTCACAGTTTCCCAGAGCATCCTGAGCCTGGTGAAACTGCATATTCTGCGACTCTAGTTCCACTGAAGCTTCAGCCAGGTCTTACTTCAACTTGGCTGTCTCTGGTCAACTAGGAAATTGCATTATCTCACTCTAATTAAATCAGCTCTTCAGCTGGAGTTTTTGTTAGGTTTTGGTCGTGCCTGTCTCCATCGGGCTGCTGTGAGTGATTAAGGCATTAGCACATCCCACCCAGCTTTTTTTTGTCCCTGGAAGAATCCCGTGCGGGGTTTGCTGGATGCACTTTGGGTGCAAGTGCTGCTGCTTTGGCCAGAGGTTGGGTTGGGATGCACCAACGCTGCCAGTGAAGGGCAGAGAGAGGGGATGGGGCTGTCACTGTGTCCCACCCACACTCCAGCGCGGTTTTCCTGGCCATGCTGGCCGCTGGGGTTGTGGAATTGTGCCGGGAATTGCGGCCGGCAGGGTGGGCAGGGCTGGGCGCAGCCGGGCTGAGCAGGCGGCACACGGAGCCTGCCGGATCTGTCTGTCTGTCTGTCTGTCTGTCTGGGCGTTCTCCCAGGTGCTGGATGACCCCTGCGGATCATGTGTCAGGACTGGAATAGCCCCGCCGAGCAGGGAGCCTGTCTGCAGGGATATTTATAAACCCGGGTTAGTTTTATGGGATGGGGCTTGTCATGGCCTCAGTGGGATCAGGGATTTTTCCCTCCCAAGCTCAGTTTCCCCAGCTGGGACTGTCAGTGACAGCCCACCCTGCTGCAGGAGAGACCAGGCAGTTTTCCTTGCCCACTCCACCACTGACAGGGCTTTTGCTGGCACTGCATCCATCCCACGCTGCCCTTCCTGCTCAGGAGTGCAAGGCTGGAGTCTCATGGGGAGGCTGGGGCACAGAAATTCCCTCCTATCAGTGTCAGCAGAAGAGACAGGCACCAGATTAAATTCACTCCCAGGGCTTTCAAGGTATTTTTTAACCCCTGACAGCTCCCGAGGAACCTGTTCATTTGTAGCTGAGCATCCCCAGCACAGACTGGGCAGGAGTCTTCCTGTTTCTGCAGGGTCCTGGCCACCAGTGCCTTTATCCCTGTGCCCACTGCTGTTTGCAGAGCCCCACATTTGCACAGAGTGGGGAAATCCAGGAGGCCATGCGCTGGCAGGTGATGGCTGCAGCCAGGTGGAAGCAGTGCTGATGTTCTCTGCCTGGCCCATGCCAGCTGGGCTGAGATTTTCCACATGCTGGGCAGTGGGGTGAGGGCAGGCAGGGGGGCATGGGCTGCTGACTGCCCTGGTGGTGGCAGCACAGCCAGGGATCAGGCAGGAGATGCTGGGTGTTGGTGATGTGGCAGTTCCTGAGCGACCTAAGGGCTGCCACAGCCCCACGTGGTACCTGGGCCAGGAGAGGCTGTGTTTTATGGGCTGGGTGAGGGTGCCTGAGAAGGGAACAAGCTCTTCCTCCCACTGGCATCACAGAATCACATGGTTTGGGTGGGAAGGGATCTTTAAAGGTCATTTAGTCCCAGCCATTGGCAGGGTCACCTTCCACTAACCCAGGCTGCTCCAAGCCCTGTCCAGCCTTGTCCTTGAACACTTCCAGGGATGGGGCAGCCACAGCTTCTTTGGGAACCCATGCCAGGGCCCAGCACCCTCATTGTACAAAATGCCTTCCCAATGTCCCATCTAACCCTGCTCTGTCAGGGTGAAGCCAGCCCTGTCACTCCATTTCCAGCTCTCTGGAGCCCCTTTAGGCACTGGAAGGAGCTCCAAGGTCTCCCTGGAGCCTTCTCCTCTCCAGGCTGAACACCCCCAGCTCTCCCAGCCTGGCTCCAGGGCAGAGTTGCTTCAGCCCCTGGAGCATCTCCATGGCCTCCTGTGGAATCACTCCAACAGGTCCAGGTCCCTCCTGTGCTGGGGGCCCCAGAGCTGGATGCAGTGCTCCAGGGTGGGGTCTCACCAGAGCAGAGCAGAGGGGCAGAATCACCTCCCTTGACCAGGAATAAGTTCCAGGAGGGTATGAATCAGAAATAACTCGATGTACATTATTTTCCCTTGAAGGAGGAAAATATGAACAAAGCCCAGGACCTCAGACACTTGCTTGTCCAAGCACTGCTGCCACCTGGATGGTCTGTCACTCACATGGGCACAACCTGGATGTGCAGTTCACTGAGGGAATTTGGAGAGCTATGTATAACAGTGCAAAGAAAAGGTAAAATTGTTGTTATTATCTTTGGAAGCCTGAGAACCACCTTTCATTTAGTACTTAAACTCCCCAGTGCAGTTTGGACAAGACCTTTAAAGACACCTGGGTGCCCACTTCCCAGGGTTACCTGTGCATCCACTGACCTCTCTAACTGGACAAATATTGTGTAGACAAATGTCACTGGCACCAAGAGCTGTGGATGTTCTGCTCCTCAATGTAATATCCATCTTCAGTTCTCCACCCACGGGGGATTTCCAGCCTATTTGCATAGGAATAATCCTGTTCCAGGAGCCTGGGGCTGCTGTGGAGAGCCCATTGTGCAGGGGAGGTGCTGGCAGTGGAGGTGACCTGGCTCAGGGGGTGCTGCAGCTGGGCTGTCACCCTGCAGGTGGGAGGAATGACATGGGTGGTGTGTCCCAGGGGTGCTGGAGGCTCAGAGCCACACAGCTGCTGTTCAGGGATGCAGGATGATCCTTCAGCCCATGAACTGGAGCTGCAGGGATGCAGGATGATCCTCAGCCCATGAACTGGAGCTGCTGGGATGCTCCCAGGGATGCAGGATGATGATCCTTCAGCCCATGAACTGGAGCTGCAGGGATGCTCCCAGGGATGCAGGATGATCCTTCAGCCCATGAACTGGAGCTGCAGGGATGCTCCCAGGGATGCAGGATGATGATCCTTCAGCCCATGAACTGGAGCTGCAGGGATGCTCCCAGGGCCATGGATGTCTCAGGGGGGTGGCGGGGAGGTGGCAGGTGACAGTGATGGAGCACAG